ATAATTGAATTATATCTTATATTGAGCCAGAAGTTCAATTTGATCATATTATTTGGCATCATCAGTTGGATCATCACTGGATCAACAATGATGTGAAATTAAAAAATTTAAATTTACATTCAACAAACTTGAAGATTTTTCAATCTAATGATTTTTTACAACAGTAATGCGAAATTAAAAATCCAAATGGACATTCAATGAAAAATCTGAAATTTTTTCAATCGAATGAAATCCTATATGTTATTTCTTCTCTTTATTGAAAATTCATCATTATATATCACTAGTTAAAATATGAACGAAATTCCCTATATTTATGAAAATTAATTAGGGTGATAAATGATACGATCATCCTCCATGTTGATCATCTAAATATTATTTGTATCTAATAAATTCGATACACATACTAGATTATTGCATGGTGATCACAACCCGAAATTTGCGAAATTATTACTCAAATTATGAGCACAATTTTCAGATTATACAATCAGATTGCGTGTCTTGTTAATAGTAGTGATCCTAAATCTCAAATTTTTAATAAGTGTTAGTTTAGATTTCGATAAATGGTTTAGCATTATTATTTGTTAAACACCTCCAATTAATATAATTGAAAATAAAACACTTCTCATTTTTCTTTAGGTAATGTTATTATTACACATCGTGCCAACATTATAGTTCTTCCAATTATAACTTGGCCTATGGTCAAAGTCTAATTTCTTAATTTAATTACTTGATAGTGCAATATATGTACAATTAATTAATCAACCATATTGCACTGAGATGAAAAAGTCAATAATGTCGAGAATAAATGCATTGTTTGAACCTTTATCGAAAACGTATGACATTTTATAATGCAGTTTGTTAATTATTAATTTGATTGAAAATGTCTCTCATTATTAGGAGGTGGAATTAAGAAATTGAGAATAATGTACAAATGCATTGTTATCTAAATCCTTGCAAAGTAATTTGAAAAAAAAAAGTTATAACAATAATTTATTTAGATGCATCTACTAATCAAATAAATCAACAATATCTCACATACCAATTTTAAATACTCCA